CCAAGTTTCCTTTAAAAGAAGAGTCAAAAAATCCTAAAACTCTTCTAACTCTTTAAGATAGTATGAATTCTCCTTTGAATATGTACCCCTTACTTTCATAAATAAACATTTGTGCGTCAATATATGACAWACGCTGAGAGTCTTTTCTCTCACAAACATCAAAAACCCCTCCCCTGTGTTGAGGTCCCCCTTTTCAGGACCACTTCAGACCTTCTCCATGAAAAATGATCCTTCCACTCCAGCCTCTTGAGTAGCTAGGACTACAGGTATGCTCCATTAGGCCTGCCCTTGAATAAAACTATCTTCAAGGTTGTTGGGCAATGGAAGCCAAACATTTAGCTAATAAGTGACACCCAGATGCCTAGATAGCATGTGTATTTTGGCCTGGCATTGAATTCCTCAATCCTCCTCAAACACACTTACACTTATTAAGGATATGAAGTATTATTTAACATTTACAAGTATATTTTATTGGATTATATGCTATATTAGGGCCTGGCCTGGTCTGTAATCCCAGTGACATGGCAGGCTGAGGCAGAGGATCACAAGTTTTGAGGCCAGACTTGGCAACTTAGTGGGACCCTGTTTCCAAATTAAAAAATAAAAAGTGGGACTGGGATTATAGTGTTACTGCTTTTTACCAGTGACGAGTCCTTGCTTCCCTGAAGCTGAAGTATAAAACCAGAGAAGCATGCAGAGTCAAGTTTAGAGTGGAAAGTAGAAGCTTTATTAAAGGACAGCAGAAAAGACTTCTCCCCATAGGAAGAAGGGGACCCAAGAGGTGGAATCCAGGGAACGGGGGAGGTCTTCCCTTTTTTAYAGCTAAGATCTTTCAGTTTTCCCATACTCTGGTCCTTTGTTTCCCGTTATCTTGCAGTGTTAGAATTCAGGTGGGAAGGTCCAAAAGGTGGGAGATAGGTGGGCTGAAGGAGTAAWGTGGGCAGGAAGGCCTGGGGCAGCTTTGATTAGCACCTCCCTGTTTGCTGGGAGCTACTTCATTAACATTTTCTTAGGAAGGGATCAGGGCCTTGGGGACATTAACATTTCAATTTCCCCAAGTGCTGCTCTGGTTTCCTG